GATGTGACTATTCCATATCAAATTGAATGCTGTCATTACTACATATGATAAGATCATACAGTCTATCATAGCAATGAATCATATTGAAGTGCTGAACTGTTTGTACTTCCAACAGGCCTTAAAAATGAGTGCTCTACAAAATGTACCTAATCTTTGCCAATTAACTGCAATAATAAAAAATAAAGAGACAAACTGTCATATTATACATTACTGTGCCACCAAATATTGCATTTTCAGGTATCTTATGAATTAGATAAAAAAGATAGACTTGTAATGTTTAGCTGTAGCCTGTTCTACCAAGTAATATGTTGATAGATCGATAATACCAAGAGCTTTTCAAACTGAAGTCTCTTGTTTCACATCTTCCAGCTCTTCCGCTGAAGTTTATCCGTAAGATGACCTTGGCCACCGTGCCACTGAAGGGCACAGCTGTGTTCGAGAACGAGCTCAACAAGAGTGTCAAGGGCAAGTGGCTGCTCAAGGGCGACCAGGTCATCAAGGAGAGCGACAAGTACAAGATGACACATGTTGGCAAGGTCAGTTGCTAAGTCTGCTATCAGATTGTTTACATGTAGCAAAGTCTGCTAGATTGCTGACTAGCCATATCTGCTAGATTGTTTACTACATGTAGCAAAGTCTGCTAGATTGTTGACTAGCAAAGTATGCTTTTTGGCCTAGCAAATTCTGGTAGACTGCTGACTAGCAAAATCTGCTAAATTGCTGACTAGTAAAGTCTGCTAGATAAGTGACTAGCAAAGCTTGCTAGATTGTTAACCTGCTAGATTGTTGAGTAGCTGCATGTAGGATGTTGACTAGAAAGATTTCTGCTAGCTGGTCCACACTTCTTCAGTTTGTAGTTTTACCATATGATCAACTCAAACTACTATGTTTTCTGTTATGAGATTTGACTTATTATCATAACCTATAACAATGTTTACCTGTCCCCCTGCCAGGTACACACCTTGACCGTCCATGACTGCACCTTTGATGATGAAGTCGAGTACGTCTTCGTCATCCCCAAGAAGGACCTGAAGGCAGCCGCCACTCTGGAGATTGGAGGTCAGATTTCTTATTGTATTGTAATAGGCTTGTCTGTAGCAGTAGTAACAGTAGTAGTAGTATTAGTAGTACATGTAGTACCTGTAGTATTACTAGTAATTGTAGTAGTACCAGTAGTTAGTAGTGGTAGTTAGTTACTGTAGTAGTAGTAGTAGTAGTAGTAGTAGTAGTAGTAGTAGTAGTAGTAGTACATGTAGTACTGGTAGTAGTACATGCAGTAGTAGTAGTAGTACACTGTAGTTGTAGTATGTAGTAGTAGTACCGGTGGTAGTAGTTGTAGTAGTAGTCGTAGTAGACTTGTTAATTTGTTATCAATTTGAATTACAAGCCCCATGGCAGTCTTGGGGCTAAATTGGCAGACTCATACACATAGTAACAATCTATAATATATTAATACACTTTTAAACTCCTACAACCCTACTACAGAGCCGCCCAAGTTTGTGAACTACAGCCCAGACATCCTGAAGACTCAGGCTAACAGTGGACAGAAACGTTCCTATAACATAGACTGGGTCGGCATCCCCAAACCACATCTGTCATGGGAGGCATTCGGACCCATCGAGAAGGTGAGCTAGAACACTTTGCTTTCTTACGCTCTATCTCTGATATAGATAGATTCTTTTTTGACTCAACAAAAAGTACAATGAGTTTTGTATGGTCTTCTACAACAAAGCTAAATATAAGTATAAAGTCATCCTACGTACAGAATATATGGAATATACGGAAAGAAGAGTGAACAGCAATTGGCACTTTTCATTGTGTAGTGATATAGATGTAAGAGAATGGACTGCCAAAACACTAAGTATCAGGAGGAATAGAAAAGCAAGAAGGCTGGAGAAACCTAGTGGTCAGGTCATCACTGGTGCCCCAACAGTCTCAATATCAATATGAATGATGTAGTATAAAGTATAACCCAGAGTTCAGCACCAAGGAGAGATGCCTTAGTGTTGCCTCTCCGTTTTCATTAACTCAAATGATTAGACTGATGGATAGATGAGATGAAATATCACAAAAAGCTGCTCAACATAATTACTAGTAGGCCAGAATTTATGGTTGGATGATTTTGGAAGCACCAATTATATCCATTTTGATGGTTTTTACAGTAAGTTTGTGTTCACTATTGCCATCCTGTCATTGTGTGATGCTTTTATAAAAAAAACTGACTGGTCTCCTCCCCACTAGCCAATGGGCCGGTCCACAGTGGAACGTCAGGACGACCCCCAGGTGGTGAAGTTCGAGGTTCGCGACCTGATCCGTAAGGACGCCGGAACCTACAAGCTCAAGATCAAGAACAAGCACGGAGAGGACACACTGGACCTGGACATCAGCATCATTGGTAAATAGCTACTCAACAGTTATAATGTAGGCATAATGCTTTCATTTAGAAATACCTGCAATCATTAGTTTACATACTCTTAAATGTTTGCAGTGGATTGAAAGAGGGTTTGTAAAATTTTGGTATCATGAGGGTCCATGTTTCTGTTGTTGAGAAAGACGATAAGAAGAGTTTAGGAACTTTCAAAAAGCATCCTGAAATGAGGTAGATGAGGATCAAGAGAAGAAGAAATACAGATTATACAGATTCTGAAGTCAATACCTAAGCCATACAAACTAGTGTCCCTCATAAAGTCAAACTTGGTCCTGCAACCACCTCCATCCAATTTTTGTAGTCCCAAATCTTTCTATTTCTTTGCCTATGATATCTTTGGAGTTACATATTCCTTCTCCTCCTCCCCCAGATGTCCCTGGCCCGGTACAGAACCTTGGTTTCACCGACGTGACCAGGGACAAGATGTCCTTCTCCTGGGAGGCACCCGAGGATGACGGCGGCTCTCCCGTCACCGGATATGTCGTTGAGGTCCTGGGACCTAAAGAAGGTACGTCACTCAGTTTAGTTTAGTTTAGTATAGTTTATTGGGATGCCCTTTAGCCCTAAAAGGGGCTCCTAAACAAATTACATACAGGTACAGAGAACAGATGGGCAAAATGATTCATATCTACTATAATCTAGTATAACTCATAGGTGCTCCTTGTGGATGTTTGACATATGTTTATTGTTTGCATTTATTGTTTATTTCAGGCTCGATGCCCCATATTGACAAACACATAGTATTACACAAACGCATCTATAAAAGTATCACAAAATATATACAATTGGTTGAAAAAAAGATGGACTACCAAGGATACTAGAGCTTTAAGTTATGCATTTTTCACAGCTTACTAATATAGATTGGTGTGGCCAATTTCACAAAGTCATGTGTACATAAAGGACAATAGATTGGGTCATAATGGTACAAAGGCCCTGTCCTTGGTGCTGAACACGACTGAAACTTCAATAACTGTATAGAGGATATGCCCATTCCTGCCCATGGTACTGAATATATGTATTTTTCATTACCATAACATCTTCCATTTCATGTATTATGGTTTCATGTGGAATTTTGGATCTACCTAAAGATCTAGCTCTAGATCAATTTCTATTGGAACACTAGATTTAGAAAAATTTACGCTGTGTAATCGGTACAGTTATATAATAGCTTTGCTAATCTAACTCAGGTATAACTGCTATGCAACAAGAGGTGAAAGCGAAGCGACTGTCCGTCCAAGACGACTCCGAGCCCTTCCTCTCCGCCTTAGAGGAACCTAAGAAAAAACGGGACCGCTCTCGAGAGCAACCCACTTCTCCTGAGGAAGAACACGACTCAAAACTGAGAGGTAGTTTGAGGTGTCCCTTGCCCCCCCCCCCCCTCCCCTGTAAAATGGACCAGAATGCCCTGGAAATGTTGCAATCTGCTTAGCTGTTGGATTATAGTATATCAGATAAATGCTCAAAAACTGTTTAAAGAAAAATAACTTATTGATTTACTATTAAAAAAAAGAAATAAGCAGCTCTAGAACAGCTAACAGCTTGTGCTTTTCAAAATGTACAAAGACATGCTTGATACAAATTGAATTTCTTAAATGCGATGCTACTGCTGGCTCAAATGCAATGCACTTTCTGCTGTCCTGCAACTAATATCTGATGTTTTTTGGAATTCTTGCTTATAAAATGTATATCAAAGCTCAGTAGTGTAGCAGTTGTAGTTTCCAATGTTGTGCTGTTGCCGACTGACAAATTTTCTGAAGTCTTGCTTTGTAGAGCTTCAAAATATTTGTAGTCTGTTTTCAAACAATAGCAGGAGTGAGCTTTAAAGCCATTAGCTTCACAACTTTCAAGCTTCAAAACTGCAGAAATACAAGGATAATTTTACCACCTACTGCTTTGCTTACGCTTGCTTTCTGCGTACTTAGCTGCTTCGCAAGAGGACGCGAAACAGAAGCGACTTTCTTCAATGGCGGGTGAAAGTTCTGAGACGTACTTAGAAGGCTTGGAAGAGTCTAAGACAAAACGTCTTCAGGCTATGAAGCTGGTTGATAAGCCACTGCCTCCTCCAGTGGCAGTTCCCAGCAATCTTAAAGGTAAACCTATTGAATCCCCCCCCATACATATCCCTCGTGGTCCGTCTCTGATGCTGTCATTACCCCATACACACCCCTTTGGTCAGTGTCCCGCGTTCAACCCTCCAAATCTGGTCATCAGATTGTCATTCAGTCCTTCTAAACTCCTCAACATCGGAGGTAAATCTGTTAATTGCCCCCCCCCCATACATATCCCTCGTGGTCCGTCTCTGATGCTCTCATTACCCCATACACACCCCTTTGGTCAGTGTCCCGCGTTCAACCCTCAAAATCTGGTCATCAGATTGTCATTCAGTCCTCCTCAACTCCTCAACATTGTTTTCCTCCCTCAACATGTAAAATTGTGGTTATTGTATATAATTATGTCATGTTCTTTGTAGTAGTTACCATAATGTAGTATTAGCCATTTTTGTACTTTTGGAATTTCAGGCATGGTATTTCCTGGAGAGGTTGTGGGATCGACCAAAGATTTTAACTCTGGTAGATTTTTGCACACAGCATTCAAGAAGTCAGTGACCTAATTCCAGAGGATCCTTAGATGTTTGTTAACTATAAACTAATGTATTATGATTTTCCCACTTACCACCACAGAAACCTGGACAGTCCTGACAGAGAACTGGCCTGACTTTGAGTTCATCGCCAAGGACCTGATCGAGAACAACGAGTACACCTTCAGGGTCACCGCTCAGAACGTTGTCGGGCGGGGCCCACCCACGGAGACGCCCAAGCGCAAGGCCAAGCTGCCATTCGGTACGCTGAACATTGTTTCTCTCTTGTTGTTGTTGTCCTTGTTTAATGTCTAATATCTCACTAGACGTCGTCTCTTGGTTCAGTTTAGATTTCAAATTGTCTCTCTAGGTATTTAACTCTTGACGCCTTGATGATTTCTTTCATGATGCATGATTTGCATACTAGGGATTAATTGTACCATATCATTTTCATCTCATTTGCATACTTGGGACAAGTGAAATGTTGAATATGTTAGCTGGTGTCAAAATTTTGATGTAACCAGGTTTTGTAGTTTTGTTTTTTTATTATGAATGGATGTTTTGTATAATGGCAATTACTTATTACTATATAATAATAATATGTAAAATAATATGTATCTCATTTACATAATTGTGTTAGCTGTTGTCCATATGTATCATGTAACCTGTAGCTGTTTGATAATGCCATGCAAATTGTGTTAGCTGTTGTCCAAGTTGCGTTAGATGTAACACATCTATTTATTGTAACACAATGTTTTGAAGAACATATTGTACCCAACAAACATTTTTTTCTTGCTCCCCAGACCCCCCAGGCCCGCCTGAGAACCCCCAGCTTCCTGAGGTGAAGCGCACACAGGTGAAGTTCACCTGGGAGGTGCCCAAGGAAGATGGCGGCAGCCCCATCACCGGATACTTCGTGGAGAAGAAGGTAAGAACTTCTATTTATGAAGGTCGGTTCAAGGTCAGTGATGCTGAAGGAAGAGTGAGCGAGAGATTTCACTCAAAACATCCAGAAGTAATCTCCAAGATATACAGAAGTAAATTTTGAATTGTCTGAAAATGATAAATACTATATATGAAAGCTTGCACATGTAGTTCAGCACCGAGGAGAGATGCCATAACTTGGCCTATCCATGTTTGTAACTATCAATTTGAAGTTGAAGCTTGTCAGAATTGTACTTTATTCCAGTGCAATGTTCAGAACAATCACTGCCAGAAATATGTCATGTTTAGGTTGAAGCATGAAGTAGGTTATAGCCACATCCATAAACTAATGTAACAACTAAATACACAAATAATTAAATAACAACAAAACATGTACATCAGCACCAAGGAGAGATGCCATCTTTGCTGTCAATTTCTAGATAAACTTGCAGATTGTCAAAATTGTACTTTATTGTACTTTATTCCACTACAATATTCATGCAGAAATCAGTCATATTTAAGTGAAAGCATGAACTAGATCATAGCTGAATGAATGAAAGAACTACATCTAGGAACTAATGCAACAAATAAACAAATAACAATCAAATAAACAAACAACACTTGGCTATGTTTTTCCCCTTCAGCTGGATGGAAAGGAGTGGGTGAGGGTGAACGACCTGAAGACCCCTGACCTGAAGATGACCATTAAGGACCTGCCGCAGGGTGCGGAGGCGGAATTCCGCTGTCTGGCCGTGAACTTGGCCGGCGAGGGACCGCCCAGCAAGCCCATGGCTCCTGTCAAGCTCTTCGGTATGTTACATGTAACATGTAACATTTCCACAGCATCTCATACTGTCATCTGGGTATTGGATAGGTTATCTAGAATACTAGAGACAACAACTTTGAAGTCAATGTTTTATTCTACTGGTAAGCATTGTTAGTATTGCCCAGCAAGCCCATGGCTCCCGTCAAGCTCTTCGGTATGTTACAATTTGCCATTTACACAATGCATGGTACTGCTCTATATCTGTCAAAATTGGGCATGGGTGTTTTAGTACTAGATACTGTGAGTCAATTTTGTTTCATTGTTACATGTAATTACGATAAATTCCACCAATGTCTACTGTTTAAGAATGCTTTTCATGCAAAGTACAATGTTTTTTCTCTGTTTGAAAATGAAATGTAGCATTGTTGGTATCCTATTATTGAAAGACATGTAAATATCTGAACATGCTACGTTTTCTTTATTTTAACACCGCATTTTGAAGACTGAATACTTAGCAATGGTTAGGCACAAGAATACTGTTCAGAGAAGAATGCCTACAAACTCCCAATCTATTAATTGCAAATTGCTGCTCAAAGGTTGATTGCAAATAACAAGTACAAAAGAAAATTGAATACAAAATAATAGCATTATTTTCCCTCCGCAGAGCGTCCGGGTCCGCCCCAGAACCTGTCCCTGTCCAACCCCAGCCGCTACGGCGTGACCTTCAGCTACGCCGCGCCCGCCGACGACGGGGGCACGCCAATCACCGGTTACCATGCCTACCGTACGGAGGAGGGCCTGGAGGACTGGCAGCCCTGCGCTGACCCTACCATGGACACTAGTCTTAAGGTCTGCACTTAAACCTCGAGTTAAAATCTTTGATGGAGAATGGTGGAGGTGATCAATGTAGAAATTTTGAAACTGCTGGTATTTCAACACAAAGCACTCAGAGCAACTAACTAAAAATACAAATGCCTGACTAATTACATGCCAACGAGGCTGAATTGGTGATATTTAAAGGGCAATTCAGGTCTATATGTGAAAGTCTGAACCTACCTACCTACTACAGATTTTTACAAAAATTCATACCTCAGTAAAGACTTGCGTGCTACAGAATGTTGTAAAGTCTGTTCTATTATGGCCTAATGTACAAAATGTATAACTAAGAACATGTAGTCATCACAGTTTTTTTTTTTGTATTTTCAGGTGAAGGGCCTGAAGCAGGGAGTGAACTATCGCTTCCGTGTCTGCGCGGAGAATCTTGTTGGCAAGGGTCCCGACGCCTTCCACCCCAAGGAGGGCGAGGCTGCGTTTGTCGCTGGTGAACCACCAAGTACGTCCTGTTTGTTTGTTTATTTGTTTATTAGAATTCTCTACATGTATACACCTAGTGGAAGGGAGGGCAAAACAGGCTTACTAGACCTTTACAAGTTGTCCTTCGAAACACTTCAAGAATAAAATGCATATGCAAAGAATGTCTGAATTGTAGTGTGCAATCTGGTAAAATCTTACTCTTACATGTCTTTACACCAGTCTTGAATGATCCAATGCTACAAAAACTGATCTTATCAGTTAATTTTATCAGCTTAAGAAAAGAGAGCTTGCTCCCAAGTGGAACTGATATTATGTCAATAACTTTGATCTTAAAGTCAATGTTGTTTGTGAATAAACTGTCCTGATTTAAAAGGACTCTAACTTTTATTACACAGTACTAGTTTAGAGTTGTAGTCAGGACTGTGTGAAAGTATAATATCTATATTTCCTCCAGGTGCACCAGTGCTAGACATCAGTGCCCTGCCCAAGGACCTGGAGGTTGTTGAGCCTGAGGACATCTCACTGAAGATCCCCATCACAGGACAGCCTCCGCCTGAAATCACCTGGACTGTCAACGGAGAGGACGTCAAGGTACACACAGACTGACTTTTACTATCATGAAGGTTCATCTGTGTTCCAATTGTTAGTTACATGTCTCAAGGTCAGGAAATGAACTTGGGAAGAAGGATAACATATTGTTTTTGCTCTGTTTCTTCTTCCTCTTCTTCTACTCCAAACACGTAAGGTCAATGACCAGAACCAGACGTTATTCACCATGGTAACTGGTGTTGGGTTATGTCATGTTGCAATTTTATAACAGGAGGGATTTAGACTCCTGTCGCCATATATATATATATATATGAATGTGTTTGAGTAAGTTTGAGTAAGAATTAACAGAGCAGACCATATGCCAAGGCAAATAATATGCATTTGCTTTGCAAATGTTACCTTTCTAGTACTTATAACATTTTCCTCCTGTTTGCCTGCAGTCTTCTGAGCGTCTGTCGCTGATCAGTGCGACGGAGCCGTACACATTTGTGGAGCTGGCGATTAAGCCGAGTCAGCGCTCCGACACCGGGAAGTACCGCATCACCGCCAAGAATGAGCACGGGGAGGCTGGCGGAGTCTGCAATGTTACCGTATTCTGTAAGGGGGCGCTTCTGTACTGTTAAACTTACATACGCCAATAGTAATATATGCTATATAGTTGGTGCTGAAATGTTGGTACACTGGAAGTACCGCATCACTGCCAAGAACGAGCACGGGGAGGCCGGCGGAGTCTGCAATGTCACCGTATTCTGTAAGGGGGAGCTTCTATGTTACTAAATTTACAATGGAATCACGAGCCTCAGTTTGTGTATGATATATGTAGAACTGGTGGGGAGGATGAAATGGAGAAAGTAGTTAATTTCTACAAATCAGTAGATATTCATTTGACTTCATGCTGGTTGATAGTATTGTGTTGGGAACATATTTCAAGGCAAATTGAACAATATCTCACCAATGTGGGTTTTAATCATGATACACAACCAGACATTTAAAAAAAAAGTCTTTCACTCTTGAATCTTGATGACATTTGACAAACATAATTTTTAATTTTCAAATGACAAGTTATAGTTTCTGTATAGTCATGAAAAAAACCCAGATGACTAACAACATTTCTTACTCACTTACCACAAGTCATAAGTCAGTCTAGACCTTTTGAAAAATCATTCACTGTTCAATCTTGATGACATTTGACAAAGTTTTCTAGTATTCTACAGTATAAAACAACAGATGACTAACAACACTTCTCACCCCCCATAGCCCCGCCCGGTCCGTGCCGTGACTTCATCGCGAGTGAGATCACCCGTCAGGGCTGCGACCTGCACTGGATGGTGCCGGAGGACGACGGCGGCAGCCCCGTCACCCACTACATCCTCGAGAAGGCCGTGAGTTGAAATCTTGTCTTATTTGTGGGAATACCTCGAGTTTAAATCTTGTTTTGATATCACACTACGTCCTCAAGAAAGCCATGAGTTTGTTTGTTTGATAGTTTATAGAGATCTCCATTAGAAATTTATGTGACACTTTTCTTCCCAGATTCCATGGCATACAAATGGTAGAAACAGAAATATAAAGTCAAACCAATAAGTTATACGCTTGAATAAAAAGATTAAAAGTGTAGTTATTGCAAAATGATATAACAAGGTATCAAACCAAATTTGCATTTGCATAACAGAAAACTTGAACGAAGTGAACATAAAAATCAGACTCTATCCAGTTTCTTGAGTGACAATTTACTTGTGTATCTCATCATCTGGATGTTAAAAATTAATTGACATATAAAATCTTGGAAGACTTTTTGCATGGTTAGAAACTTTAAGGTTATCTAATGAACTTGACCTTTCTGCAGGAGGGCACAATGAGAGGTCACAGCCGCGTGTCGGATGACATCAAGGTGACGTCCCACGAGGTTCGTGACCTGGTCGGCTACGAGAACTACAACTTCCGCGTGTATGCCGTGAACAAGTACGGACAGGGACCGCCCGTGGACCTGCCTGAGGCATTCAAGGCTGTGGATCCACTGGGTATGTGTTACTGGGATTTTGTTTAGTTGAATTTTCCATAGGATAAAATTCAGGGGAAGACACAGGTGATGAAGATTGCCTTTACAAGTTGTTTTCCCTTGATAGACATGAAAAAATGAAGATATGCTGTAGAAGCAACAATTCTTAGTAATACACACTGGTGTTGCTGGGTTTCAACATTACTTTACTATTTTATTCACATTAATTCTGTTTATTGAGGATTGAGCAAAATGCTTATTAAAAGCCCTCTCTTCGAAAGCACAAAACATATCAATACAATACAATCACATTGCATTTACAATAAACACAATAAAGTACAATCTTTTCTTCACCTCAAACATTTTAATAATGGGGTTGCGTTCTTACCCAAAGCTCCCCCAGATCCACCAATCAACTTTGTGAATTTTCTTCACTTCTGACATTTTAACCAATCGGATTGCGTTCTTCCCCGCAGCTCCCCCAGATCCACCAATCAACTTGAGCATCACGGACCCGCTGGACGACTCGCAGGTAGTGAACTGGCAGCCTCCCGAGTACGACGGAGGCAGCCCCGTGTTCGGGTACTTCGTGGAGAAATCCATCGCAGGGACAAACAAGTGGGAACCTGTCAACAAGGAGGCCTGCGAGTACCTTAAACTCAAGGTAGGGTTCAGCTTCAAAGTTCAGCTGTGTTGGTAGATGTCATATTTATGAGGCAAGTTTGAACTGTGATTTTCAACACAAGAATTTGGACTTACCCAAATTTTTGACTGTACAACTCCAGTCTTTATGTCAGATTTATTACACTTTTGATGGTTGAACTGAAGGGATCAAGAAAATGCTCTAGATGATTATGTTCTACGTCTACCTTGTACAATTGTCATTCAATAAAGTTCCTATAATCCTTACCCTCTTAGGTGCCTGGTCTGGGGACTGGTAAAATGAATGTGTTTGTGTGCTACTAATATACACTGAGTAACTGTTTTGGCTACCCTTTCTCTATGGGTTAGCAGGAGAAAGGCTAAAAATACATTGCTGAATATGCCCCTCCCTCTCCCTCTTAGGTCCCAGGTCTTGAGACTGGAAAGGAGTACGTGTACCGTGTGTATGCTGCAAACGTCATCGGACGCAGCGGCCCGTCCGCCATCAGCAAACCGATGAAGGCACAGATGCCTGCTGGTTAGTATTCAATCTTTCCAAAACTTTAACCTTTAGCACACTGAAGTCTTCTTTTGAAGTAGACTGAAGTAGCCATTTGGATAACAATTCTTTGACAATTGGGCTAGTTAGCAAAGAGGAGGTTGACATGCATGAAGAAATTTTCTCTTCACCTTTGTGGAATATACATCTTGTTGGATAAACACTTTGTTGAATATCTGAAAACTGTGCCAGACTTAAGCTAGTAACAGTCTGGAAAAATGGACTTTTGATATTATAAGATAGAAAGATCTATTAGTAACAATTTACTTGCTGCTCTATACTTGATGCCTGCTTGATCAGCACTTCTGTTAGTTGGTTGATTGATTGATTGATTGATTGATTGATTGATTGATTGATTGATTGATTGATTGATTGATTGATTGATTGATTGACTGTGATGTTCCAGAACTGCCGATCCTGAAGCTGAAGGTTGACCCAGACATCATCGTGAAGTGATTGATTGATTGATAGATTGATTGATTGATATTGATTGATTGGTTGATTGATTGATTGATTGATTGATTGATTGACTGTGATGTTCCAGAACTGCCGATCCTGAAGCTGAAGGTTGACCCAGACATCATCGTGAAGTGATTGATTGATTGATTGATTGATTGATTGATTGATTGATTGACTGTGATGTTTCAGAACTGCCGATCCTGAAGCTGAAGGTTGACCCAGACATCATTGTGAAGTGATTGATTGATTGATAGATTGATTGATTGATATTGATTGATTGGTTGATTGATTGATTGATTGATTGATTGATTGATTGATTGATTGACTGTGATGTTTCAGAACTGCCGATCCTGAAGCTGAAGGTTGACCCAGACATCATTGTGAAAGCTGGAGAAACCATCAAGCTCCAGGCTGACTACAGCGGCAAGCCTCAGCCTGACATTGCGTGGATGCTGAAGGACGTGGAGATCTACACAGACGACCACATGAGCGTCACCACCACAGATGAGACCACTCTGTTGGTCATCAAGGTAAGAAATTATGAAAAGAAGATCTGAAATACAATAAAGCAATAATATATTATTGATACCTTTGGTCATTCCTGGTAACACTGTTTTGGAACATTTGGTGAGCCATCAACTTTGTATGTTTACACATTGAACAAGAAGTCAGAATAAGGATCTGAAACATTTGGCCTGAAAAAAATCGAGGACTTCAAACATAAAACACTACATGTTCAGATTGCTGAGAAAGACACACATTCAGTCTGGTGTTATATTATTTTGCAATATAGCTACTTTTAGATAGAAAGAGACCTGCTGTAAACATTTTGCAACAATGTAGCTATAAGCCTGTGCCTACAAATTTACACATAACAATTG